TTGGTTAATGCTTCAGAAAATATTTTTCTGATCCATATAGTTTTTGTAACTTGAATCAAGAAGTGCTGAGTTACTTCTTTTCCTTGGTTTAGTTAATCATGTTTGCTTAACTTGGCTGGCTGATATACCTTATGCTATACTGAAAAATGTTCTGTAGTATTTTAAACCTTTTTATCAGTACTAATTCTCTTAATGCTTCTCTCGAAGTATTGGATGTTACCTATAGCATCTTAACAGGTCAAATCTAATAAACCTAGTTAGTCAAAACATAAGGAGTGGTGACGAGCAAAACTAGTGTTCGGTTAAACCTGCAAACAAAGGTTTTCCACAACTCCTCCATCTGACAAGTGGTTCAACATAAATTGCAGCATGCAATTGTTTTGGCAGTAGCTTTTAATATGATGTTTTGTTTAAAATATTTGTGTAGCTCCCTTTTTACTTAAATGGGCAAGTGCACATTCATCTGTGGTTTTTATTTGCAAATAACTGAGAAACTTTGCTACCTCATATTTGTTTATCCAACTAGTCATTTATGGTATGAAGCTCATGTGTTTTGATTTGTTGAAGTGTGTGACCATGTTGTTAGAGAGAGCACACTTTACTATTTAATTATATTCTCAATATGATCTTTCCTTTATTTATTTTTAATTGATTGTGCATCTAAATCTTCATCTATAAGCATTTGAAGAGAGTAGCTTGCTTTTTTATTTTTTAAATGCTGGAATTTTATTTTGCAGTGATGGATGGGATAGAACATCACAATTGGTCTCACTTGCCAGCTTGCTACTTGACCCATATTATCGCACAATTAGAGGGTTTCAGGTACTGAGACAACTTGTTTGGATCTAATTTGCACATGCTACCTGGTATTTACATTTGTAGCCTTGTTTTTTCTCCTTCTTGGAGCATGAAATGTTCCTTCCACATGAAACCACTAAGGTCTGTGTTAATGCATCAGCTTTTCATTTTATTCCTAATAATGTATTCAGTCTCGCTTCTGTCCTGGGTGTTAGAAGAATTTAATTTTTTAGTGAGGCATTGCTACCCTTGATTATGCATGGACAGCTTTTCTAAGTCGCCCGAATGAACTATTATTGTCCAGGCACTTGTAGAGAAAGATTGGCTTGCATTTGGTCATCCATTTTCAGATCGTCTGGGAATGCCCACTGTATCTGGAAATGGCAACATGCCATTTGAATTGTCTCGTCAGGCTTCGACTGGGAGTTTACCTTTATCCCCCATGCGTCAAGGATCGGGGTCAGCCTCAACCCAAGCTCAAAATACAGCAAATGCGAACCATAGTTCCCCCATTTTTTTGCAGGTATGTCTTTTGGGCAGATAAGTCTGCACGGTGCGAAGTTCTATCGCTTGTTTGGGTTAATTTCCTGCATTTGACAAAATATCCCCCCAGCCCTGTGCTTCTTCTTCTATTGACCCTTAACTGATTTCTTAAATTTTTACTCTAACTTGATATGCTTGGATGTGCTTTGCAGTGGGTTGATTGTGTTTCGCAGTTGTTGAGGATGTATCCCTTTGCCTTTGAGTTCTCTTCGGTATGTGTTCCTAAAGGACATGAAAAATTAAATATGAGTAAAAATATTATGTTCAAGTAAACAAACAAATTACACCCACCGGAGAAAATAAAGCTTCCCATCTTTCAATTCCAACAATGCAGGCTTTCCTGGTAGATCTTCTGGATTGCATGCTTTCTTGTCGTTTTGGGAACTTTTTGTGCAACAGGTAATCTATCTTGGAAGTATTTTCTTTTGCACTTTCATTTCTGTACACTTTTTTGTTGAAAAAAGGGAATTACACACACTCTGTTAAGAAGTTAAGGTGCTTGTTTGATATATTGATATGAACGAGATCCAGGTCTGATAAAAGGGAATAGAATTAGAGTTAACAACCTGAAGAAGAGGTGTTATAGTTCTGAGGCGTCCTCTTTCTATAATATCCCCCGGGTCACGTTTGAATCATGTTAAAAGCTAGGTCTCTTGTTCAACACAAAAGAGCATAGTCATTGTCATGTGTGTGTGACTTATTTTAAAAGAAATTATCCCATATTATGATGCAAGAATGACTACATGAAAAAAAAATCATTTTTTGTATCTGTTCTTTTCTTTCTTTCTTCATTCATTTTTTTTGGGTGGGGTCGGGGGTGGGTTATTTATACTTTTATGATCAGGATTTGCAGCTATTAAGCACTGTAGGAAAATTTGCCACCTCAGTGGTTTTGGCTTTACGTTGTTTGAACTCCATCACGGGAAGCTAGGATTCTCTAAATGTCATTTCCTAGTTTTAATTCACTTCTTCTGACTTTTATAAATTTCAGCGAGAAGGAAAGAGAGCAAGCTGGTATATATGATGCTTGTGGATGCCTGTGGATGTATTTAGCTGGACTAAGGACATCTGAAGGAAGCTCTCATGCGCATTACAACCTATTCTATGACCCACTGAAACATAATGGTCCTATACTTCCACCAGCAGCAGCTTTAGCTCCAACTGTGTGGCCTCAGTTTCACCTTCGTTGGGCTTGCCCCTCAGAGGCGCAAGGTGGGGAAGTTGAAGCTGAATGCAGGAAGCTGACGAGAAAATTCTCTGAGCTGCAAAGGGTAACCTCTTTCCTTTTATCCTTTTTCCCCCTTTGTCTTAGTATCCCTGTAATTTTTCCATAGGGTTGAATATGTTCCTGTATACTCTCTTTAATATGTAATTAGGAACTTGAAGTTATAACATGTTGTGGCAGGTTTGGATATTTTAGAAATAGAAATACAAATTGTTACCCTCTTTTTTCCTCTGCTGACTCCTCTCTCCTCTGGCCTCTCCGAAAAGGAAAAAAAGAAAGTTTCCAGCTTGAAACTGCGAGTGCATGAAAACCTAAATATAGCATCTTAATGTTGACAGAAATTATAATGGTAGACCAAATTTGGCTTATATCAGTTCCATGAGAAGATTAACTACTATGACAAGCATAACTTTCTAGCTTATTTGTAGTGTAGCATGTAGCTGTCGCTCGACTGTTGCATCTTAATTTTGTCAATGCATGCTAGAACTTGGGGTGTATCCATAACTCCTTCATTAACCGTCTAAAACAACTTTTACACAGGCCAAAGAACTAGCAGAAACAAGACTTAACGAAGCAAGTGTCTCCGTGGAGTCCTTAGTTACAGAACTGAGAAATGAGAAACTTGCAAGCACCTCTGCCAGGGATGCGGTAAAAAGAGCAAGCAAAGAAACTGCTACTATAAAGCGTGCAGTACAATCTTTGGGGTTCAATGTCTACTTTACAGCAGATGGAGACTGTAATGTAGGCATTGAAAGGAACCCAACCGAAATCCCTCAGCGATCTATCTGCTCAGTTTTTACAAAAGATATTAATGGCACAGTGTCCCACAGTGAGAAAGCAGACCTCTCTGAACCTGTTTCTGTGGCAGAAGATAATGTTTCCGACAATCCTCTCATCCGAGTTTGTGGATCTCTATGCCCGAAGCACACTAGAGATGGAGAGTGTCAGTTGCCAAATGCTGGTTGTGCTCAGTTTCAGAGCCAATTGGTTGATTTCAAAGCCAACTTTGATGCATTTGATCGGCTTTCGATATATGATAGTTATTTCGGAAGTTAAGAAAGATGGTTTCAGCTAAGCATCAAGCTCAGTTTATGTGATCAGATATCTTTGTACAGTTGGGAATTAAATGGAGGCGGCAGTAGGTTCAGTTTCTATTATTAGCAAAAATCACAGCAAACAATTAGACAGAAGTAGCAGTAGTGAGTACAACCAGCTTTGAAACATAGTTTCTGTTAGATTGAGATGGCTCAAGAACTGTACATGGAGAACTGATTTGAGTTTCTATGCGGATCATCTGAAAGTTTTGACATCGCGGAGGATTGAGAAGATTTGAACTGATATTATTTAGATACAATTCATATGTACATTTTGACATAGGCGTTCCTCCTCCGAAATGTTTCTTTCTGCATTCTTGTACATGACAAATAATCATGAGTTCTGAATAAAATGGTTCTGGTGGACATCCTCTAATTGTGTGTGGGGTTTTCTGCTCATATCTGCTTAACAATTGTTCGCTATTTTATCGGGGGCTGTCTACCCGTCGAATATATGAACTGATTGTTTCTGCTCTGTGCTATAGAGCTTTTTTGCACATATCATACTTGAAAACTTGGGTTTTATCTACTCATGTTCCTTTTGTTTGTGAGTGTGTGGTGGACCACAAGTGTACATGTAGCAGCATCAAATGAACTGTAACGTTTTGTCGTTCATTTACACAAGCTGTTGAAGTTCACAGCTTGCTTCTGTGGTTCAGGAGATGTGGGATTTTGGCATCTCTATGTTGGAAATTTTGTCTTTGAGCAGGAACCTCGTGCTTGTTTGAGCTTGTAGCTGGGAATTTTTTCCTTATCACAAACGTGCTTAGCACAGATGATCGCTTGGTTGAAAACAAGTTATCCCAGAATTAATTGTATCCCATCACTATGTGATAACATATTCCATCACTATGATATAAATGGTGAGATAAGTTATCCCAAACATAGATAACCAAACAAGATACAAAATTTTTATCCTATCACTAATTATTTATATTCCTCAATAAATACTTCTCATTGTCCTGCTAACTATGGACAAGACTGAAGGAACCTTAGATAGAGGTTATCAACGTCGAGGATTAGGGTAGAAAGTTGGTAATAGATAATCAAGCTTCATCTAGTGTTAGTACTCTATTATTGTTTTATTCTATGAAATTTAGTAGTACTTTTAATGTTTTTTTTATTGGTGCTATGGTTTTCTCTTTTGTGTAACCTTTCCACCTAATTTGATATATTTTACTCGAGCCAAGAGTCTATTGGAAATCACCTCTTATCTTTTGATATGTTTACTCGAGCCACGAGTCTATCAAAAATTACTTTGGAACCGTTTCAAGGCATGAGTTAGACTACATACTCTCCAAATATCATGTACTCAAGAGCACTATCTTTTCATTTAAAAAGAACTTATCAAGTTGAATGAAATATATGAGCTTACAGTATAGCTCATGCACGCATCCACTTGCTTTAGCAAGAATTATCAACAAGGGCTGAAACACAGGCTGTACAAAATGATGCTGACTGGCAAATTGACGTAAAGCTTGATTCGGGTTTTTACATTTAGTACTGTAAAACCAGAACTGTGATTTCAACACTTTACAAGACTCAAATAAAGTCATAAACCTGTCTCCACAAGTGTCATTCTTTGTTTTCTCTTTTCTAACATGTTGCAGTACAAAGTCTACTCTTGACTGGGAGGAGGCTCTTCATCGGATGGCTTCCTGTTTCCACGACGCTCGTTCCATCTTGACCATGCCCACCTTAAGACAAAGAACCCTCCGATAGCATAAACCTGATTTCAGAAACAGTGCAGAAGATTAAGGTGGTAAGAGCAGATAAGGCAGAATATGACAGGGAAAAAAGCGAAATCTTAAGATATGTAGGGGCACCGCATTTTGCTCGTCAAAGAGATTATTGTTCAATGTTTCCTCCTTTTCCTTTTTTTGGTTACAGAATCCATTTACCTACTTATTTTCTCATCAGAACACTATATCGAGACAAATAAAATTTGAAACTACACAAACAGAAAAAAGGAAAGATAAAATCTAGAAAATTTGGTCATCGAACACAGATCAGGACAGATATGGAATAAACCCCAAAAGCATAAACAAGTTGTGTCCATGCATATAGGAGAAAGAACACTTACTATAACCCACTTCCTCTATTTCTCTTCCTTCCTTTTTTCTCTGCCTTTGTGTCAATATAGAATACAAAATCTTGTTTCCACTTCATCCTTACGTATTTTAATGTGTATATATATCCACAGCAAGATGATTCATTTACATCTTACTAAATTATACAGCTGATGTTCTGAAACATGTAATAGATGTAACAGATGGTTCCACAGTACTCATTCAGTTACTCCATACATGAACTATGATATCTGATACTACTATTATTATCATTTTAAGAGAAGTAACATTGTATTCATCAGTACGGTACTGATACTGGCAGTAGGTAGTTACAAAAGGCCAAGGATCTTACAAGGAAATAAAAAATTGAAAGAAACGAATTATGTAGTAGTCCAACAATTGAAAGAAAACGAAAAAGTTGTTGGATTATCCAGTAAATCCAACAACTTACTAAAGTTGTCCAAAGTGTTCCAATAACTACTAATGAGTGTTGGAACGAATTACGTAGTAGTCCAACAACTGGTGCAGACAAATATGAAGTTGTCAGGAACAAATTTAGTAGTTGACCAACAACTGTTGTGGACAACTTTTGAGTCTTCTTTTTAAGGAAGAGTGACTCAAGTTCTTTGCTACAAGTGACTCCTTTAATTAGTATTAATGATACATATTTAAAAACCAACAAGTTTTTTTATTTACATAAAGCTCCTTTCCCCCATCTCATCGGCCTCCGCGTTTATCTTAAACCCAGAATAATAGAAATCTCACAACAACCAGAAGGTAATACAGAACTCCTCTTTGAGACCACATCCCAACAACTTCAACAGTTGTCCAATAACTCTTTGATGGAGCTTGTTTGAAAACTTCAGTAAGTAGCAAAGTTGTTGGAATTACTGGAGAATCCCCTCCATTTGTTCGAAAATATTTTTCACCAACCAAATATAGGATGAGAAGATGAAGAGGAGTGGAGAGAAAATTCAAATTTGAAAATCCAAAACAATGGTTTCTTTAATAATTTTTGGAGTTTTTAATTCTTACCACGACTTTTTAGTAACTGTTTACACACTTCAATCCACTTAATTAAGTTTGAGCCGGTCAACGAAAACTCTTCTCTAATTCAAGACATGAAGGGCCTTTACCCAAATAGTCTCTACTCACCTTGCACCATTATCCATCCTTCCATTTGCAGAACTATGCTTTAGCCAGTAACAGAAAAGTTGTACGCCAATACATTTCACAACTATAGTTGACCTTAGCTATATAACATAGCAAACCATGGGGGTCATCTTTATCACCTGTTTCTGAGTAATATTCTACATTGAATAAGTCAACTATATGCTTCTGTGAAAGAATCAAACAATCAGATTTCACATAGCAAAAAAGATCGTCTCCTAATAAGCAGAAGGAATTCAAAAGAACAATTCGATTAATTCCACAAGGAATTTTATCAACATACCTAGTCTGCATGGGACGTATGGAATTTCAACAACCACATACCCAATTTAATCCCACAAGTTGAGTCTAGCGAGGTGGTGTATAGGGATTTTCAACAACAATAACAACACACACAATGTAATCCCACAAGTGGGTTCAGGGACAGTGGGGTGTATGGAATTCCAACAACAAAACAACAGCATACCCAGTATAATCCCACATACGGGGTCTACTGACAGTGGGGTCTACGGAATTTCAACCACAAACAACAATATATCCTGAGTAATCCCACAAGTGGCATCACTAGAGGTGGGATGTACGGAATTTCAACAACAACATATCAAATGTAATCCCAGAAATGAGTTCTGGAGATGGTGGGCTGTATGGAATTTCAACCACATACTCAATATAATCTCACAAATGAGGTCTCAGGATGGCGAGTTGTACGGAATTTCAACCACAAACAACAACATACCCAGTATAATCCCACAACTGAGGTCTAGCTAAGGTGTGGGTCTACGGAATTTCAACAACAACATACCCAATGTAACCACACAAATGACGTTCAGGGATGGTGGAGTATATGGAGTTTATCATGTTAATTTGATATATACACGCACCAAAATCACAAATACCAAATAGTAGCTCAAAAACTAATTAAAACGACTTAATAAAATGAAACTGAATTCCAAAAATGAAACAGAGCATAAGTAATATAATACCTGCCACAAGACAATGGGATTTGTATTAGGTTCAGCCCCTTCTGTTTCGAGCTTCAACGAAGGCAAATCCTGTCGCGGAAACTTCACTACAGCAGCTTTCTCCTCTTTTTCAGCTGAAGCAATTGGTTTGAGGTCTGAAGTAGCAGCGGTGGGTTCAATCTTCTTACTAGATGCCGGCGGCGGTTTGAAAAGCTGAAGAACACTAGAGATAAATGATGCAAGTGGGTTCGTGGGATTGTTTTTCTGGTCATCGGTAACCGTAATAGAGTCACCGGAGATTGTTGTTGTTGTTGTGGTGTCCGCCATAGCTAAGTTTTTGGAGGTTTTTGACTTTGGGGAAATGGCGTTGGTTACAATAACACTACTATTTATATATATGAAGCGAGAAATTACCAGAACAAACGGGGAACGGGTATGGGCCCGGATACTTCTTTTAGTCGCCCGTTGAACTTATCGAAGATGTGATCCAGAACATATATTCGAATCACGAGTTAGTAGGTTATTGAGTGTATAGCTTTTTCGCATTGTTTATTTCATTAAATTTTACTTTTGTAAAATTACATGTGATGACTGGAAGTGGTTTGTAGTGATTATAGATCTTAGAGGTGATAGTGACGATGAAAGTAATATTGATAACACTTGATTTAATTATAATAATAAAGTTGATAAGTGTGATGGTGTTGATTGACTAAATAGTAATTGTCAATGATGGTTGATGATTTGCGAAGTAGTAAATGTGATAGGGAGGGTGGTTATAAGTAGTTGTAGCAATAGTGTACCTAATAACCTAAGATCTAAAATAATTAGATTCATATTTTTTCTTTATTTTACTGCAAATGAATAAGTCGTTAATAACTTTCTATATTATTATTTCGTATAAATAGGTCAGATTGAATTTGTTTATAGGAATGATAGACAAGACAAATAAAAAATCTAAGAAACTTTTTGTGGCTTAGTAGGAAGTATGATTTGATTTCTTTGGTGTTTTTGAAGGGGGCTATGTTTGATTGAATATAAAAATATTAATTTAATTAAATGGATTTGTGAGATTTTTTTTTTTAGGAATTGATGATAATTCGCAGGCCGCAACTGCTACAATCTCTGCTTTTTGAGTGAGCATTATGTGGTGAACATTTTTTGCGTATTGGGTGAGCACTTTTTGCGCATTAGTTAAACCACTCACTGTGTAATAGCCGGCAAACTAAACATGAGATTTAAGCCATATCAGGCAAACTTTATGCCAAAAGCTCGACAAGGAGGCATTGAGGGGCAGAGAAGGGATCGATTCCAAATTATTAGTGTGAATAACCATCCTTCAAATCATGTATTATAATTCTTACCTAACTAATTTATGTATGACTAATACCTCGTCATAGTAATTTGCACCAAAATGACTTCAAAGTGAAAACAACTTACTCACGTCGGGTGTTTACACGAAATCCATTATTATGTGATTTAATAAAGTAAAATTCATGGATTTTTGGTGATCCGCAATTTTAGCGTCTTTTTTGTTCAAATATTTCATGGACGTCCGTTAAGATGTTATCTATGGAGTCAGTTGGACCTGACGGCCAAAAAAGAATATTTTGAAGGTCAAATTTGCCCTGGAGCAGGTAAAACTTTCATTTTATCGATTTTCGTGTGTTATAGTCCACGATTTTTTTTGCTGATCCAGAATTTCGACCTCTTTTTTGCTCAAATTCTTTGTGGACGTTATTACGATGTTAGATATGGAGCTCGTTAGCCTTAACGGCCAAAACGACCTATTTTAAAGGTCAAACGAGTCTCGAAGCATGTAAACCCTCATTTTACCAATTTTCATGTGCTATAGTCCATGGATTTTTGGTGATCCGAATGTCCGACGTTTATTTTGCCCATTTTTTTGTGAACGTCCATTAAGACGTTAGCTGTAAATCCAGTTGGCCCTGACGGTCAAAATGATCCATTTTCAAGGTCAAATAAGCCCCAAGTAGGTATATCTTATTTTGCTTTTCATGTACGTCGGTTAAGACGTTATTTATGGATTAAGTTGGCCCTTACGGTCAAAACAGGTCATTTTGAAGGTCAAACGAGCCTCGGAGAAGGTAAACCCCTAATTTTATCGATTTTCATGTGCTATAGTCCACAATCTTTTACGGTAATCCAGAATTCCGACGTCTTTTTTGTCCAATTTTTTTGTCGACGTCCGTTAAGACGTTAGTTATGGAGTCAACTGGCCCTAACGGCCAAAACAGACCATTTTGAAGGTCAAACGAGCCCCGATGCAGGTAAATCCCTTATTTTATCGATTTTCGTGTGCTTATAAGTCCATAGATTTTTGGTGAACCAAAATCCGACGTGTTTATGCCCAATTTTTTTGTGGACGTCTGTATAGACGTTAACTATGAAGCAGTTGGCCCAGACGGTCAAAACTCAAAAACTGTCCATTTTCAAGGTCAAACGAGCCCCGAAACAGGTATACCCTATTTTTCCCATTTTCGTGTACTATAGTCCATAGATTTTTGGTGGTCCAAAATTTTGACGTCTTTTTGTCCAAAAATTTCATGGACGTCCATTAAGACGTTATCTATGACGACAGTTGGCCGTAACGGCCAAAATGAACCATTTTGAAGGTTAGACGAGCCAGAGTAGGTAAACCCCTCATTTTACCGATATTCGTGTACTATAGTCCATGATCTTTTTTAGTGATTCAAAATTTCAACTTTTTTTTTTGCCTAAATTTTTTGTGGACGTCCGTTAAGACATTAGCTATGGAGTCAGTTAGCCCTGACGGCCAAAACATACCATTGTGAAAGTCAAACGAGCCACGAAGCAGGTAAACCCCTTAGTTTACCAATTTTCGTGTGTTAGTTCAGGGATTTTTGGTGATACAGAATTTTAAAGTATTTTTTGCCCAAATTTATCATAGACGTCCGCTAAGACATTAGTTATGGAGTCAGTTGGCCCTAACGATCAAAATGACTCATTTTCAAGATCAAACGAAACCCGAAATAGGTGTACCTTATTTTGCGGATTTTCATGTTCTATAATCCATGTATTTCTAGAGATCCGAAATTTCTACGTCTTTTTTGCCCAATTTTCTCATGAACGTCCGTAAAGACGTTAATCTATGAAGACAATTGGCTTGACGGCCAAAATAGACCATTTTGAAGGTGAAACAAGCCCCAAGCAAGTAAACCCCTCATTTTATCAATTTTCGTGTGCTATAGTCCATGATCTTTTATGGTGACCAAAAATTTCGATGTTATTTTTGCCCTAATTTTTTGTGGAAATCCGTTAAGACGTTATCGATGGAGCCAGTTGTCCCTAATGACCAAAATAACCTCTTTTCAAGGTCAAATGAGCCCGAGCACCAATCCCCAATTTTACCAATTTTCGTGTGCTATAATTCATGGATTTTTGGTGATCTAAAACTCCAATGTCTTTTTTGCCCAAATTTTTTGTGGACGTCCGTTAATACGTTATCGATGGAGACAATTGGCCTTAACAACCAAAACAACTTTTTTTCACGGTCAAATGAGCCCCGAAGCATGTTAACCCCTAACTTTATCAATTTTCGTGTGCTATAGTCCACGACCTTTTTTGTTGATCCAGAATTCCGATGTCTTTTTTGATCAATTTTTTTTGTGGACGTTCGTTAAGACATTAGTTAGGGAACCAATTGGTCTTGATGGCCAAAACGATCCATTTTGAAGGTCAAACGAGCTCCAAAGCAGGTAAACCCCATTTTACCGATTTTCGTGCGCTATAGTCCGTGAATTTTTTGTGATCCAAAACTCCCACGTCTTTTTGCCCAAATTATAAATGCCTGTTAAGACATTAACTATAGAATCAGTTGACCCTGATGGACAAAAGACCCATTTTGAAAGTCAAACGAGCACCGACTAATTTTCTGATTTTCATATACTATAATTAATGAATTTTTGGTGATTCAAAATTTTGACGTCTTTTTAGCCTGAATTTTTCATGGACGTCCGTTAAGACGTTATCTATGCAATCAGTTGTCCATGAAGACCAAAACAGACCACTTCGAAGGTCAAACGAGCCCTAAAATAGGTAAACCTCTCATTTTACCTATTTTCGTGTGCTATAATCCACGATCTCTTTTGGTGATCTAGAATTTCAACATCTTTTTTGCCCAAATTTTTTGTGGGCATTTGTTAAGACGTTATCTATGGAGTCAGTTGTCCCTGATGGCCAACATGGTCCATTTTGAAGGTCAAACGAACAGGTAAACCCCCATTACCAATTTCCATGCTCTGTAGTCCATGAATTTTTCGTGATTCAGAATCTGACATCTTTTTTCCCAAATATATCGTGGACGTCCCTTAAGATGTTAACTATGTATCCAGTTGGCCCCGACGGTCAAAACGATCCATTTTCAAAATTAAACGAGCCTCGAAGCAGATATTCTCTATTTTACTAGTATTTGTGTACTATAGTCCATAGATTTTTGATGATCCAAAATTTCGACGTTTTTTTTGTCCAAATTTTTTGTGGATGTCCATTAAGACGTTATCGATGGATCCAGTTGGCCCTAACGTCCAAAACAGACCATTTTAAAGGTCAAACAAACCCCAAAAGAGGTAAACCCCTTATTTATCAATTTTTGTATGCTATAGTCCACAATTTTTTTGGTGATCTAAAATTAAGACGTCTTTTTGCCCAATTTTTTTTGGATGTCTGTTAAGACGATATCTATGGAACATTGGTCTTGACGGCCAAAATGACCAAATGAAGGTCAAACGAGCCTTGAAGCAAGTAAACCCCCAATTTTATTAATTTTCGTGTGTTATAATCCATGGATTTTTGGTAATCTAGTATTTTGATGCCTTTTTTGCCCAAATTTTTTGTGGACGTTCGTTAAGACGTCAATTATGGAGCAGTTTGACCTGACGGCCAAAATGTTCCATTTTTTAGGTCAAACGATCCCTGAAATAGGTATACCTCATTTTCATGATTTCCTGTACTATAGTCCATGGATTTTTGGTGATTCAGAATTTCGACGTCTTTTTTTGTTCAAATTTTTCATGAACGTTTGTTAAGACGTTATCTATGAATCATGATGGTCGTAATGGACAAAATGAACCAGTTTTAATGTCAAACGCGCCACAGAGTAGGTAAGCACCTCATTTTATCAATTTTCGCGTGTTATAATCCACGATCTTTTTTGGTTATCTCGAATTCCGATGTCTATTTTGGCTAAATTTTTTGTGGACGTTCTTAGCTATGAAGCCAGTTAGCCTTAATGACCAAAACAATTCATTTTGAAGGTCAAATGAGCTCCGAAACAGGTAAACCCCCCATCTATAGATTTTCGTGCTCTACATTCTATTTTTTTTGTGATCTAGACTTCTGATGTCTTTTTTGCCCATATTTTTTATGGAAGTGTTTTAAGATGTTATCAATAGAGCAAGTTGTCCCTCACGTCCAAAATAATTCATTTTATGGTAAAACAAACCCCAAAGAGTGTATACTCTATTTTGTCGATTTTTCGTATTCTATAATCCATGGATTTTTGGTGATTCAGATTCCAAAATTTTTTTTCTCAAATTTTTTATGAACGTTTGTTAAGACGTTATCTACATAGCTAGTTGGCCATAATGGCCAAAACGGACCATTTTGAAGGTCAAACGAACCTTGGAGCAAGTAAATCCCTCATTCATTGATATTCATGTTGTATAGTACACGATTTTTTTTGGTGATTTAGAATTCCAACGTCCTTTTTGCCCTAATTTTTTTTAGACATCCATTAAGATGTTAGATATGAATCCAGTTAGCCCTAACGGCTAAAATAATCCATTTTGAAGGTAAAACGAGTCCCGAAGCAAATAAACCCCCCATTTTATCAATTTTCATGTGTTATTATAGTCCATGAATTTTTGGTAATTCAAAATTTTGTCATATTGTTTGCCCAAATTTTTCATTGACGTCCATTAAGACGTTAGCTATGGAGTCAGTTGACCCCGACGGCCAAAGCAACTCATCTTCAAGGTCAAACGAACCCCGAAGAAGGTATAACCCATTTTGCGGATTTTCTTATACTGTCCATATATTTTTGGTGATCCAGAATTTTGATGTCTTTTTTATCCAAATTTTTCATGGACAGCCGTTAAGATGTTACCTATGGAACTAGTTGTCCTTGATGGCTAAAAATGACTATTTTGAAGGTCAAACAAGCCCAAAGCAGGTAAATCTCTCATTTTACTAATTTTTGTTTGCTATAGTCCACAATTTTTTTTTGGTGATCAAGAATTTTGATGTTGTTTTTGCCCAAATCATTTTTGTACATCCGTTAAGACGTTATTTATGGAGTCAATTGGCCCTAATGGCCAAAAAGACACATTTTAAGGTCAAACGAGCCCTGAAGCAGGCAAACTCCTAATTTTATCAATTTCGGTATGCCATAGTCCATGGATTTTTTGTGATCCAAAATTCCGACATCTTTTGTACTTACATTTTCCGTGGACGTTCGTTAACGTTAGCTTTGGATCCAGTTGATCCTGACGGCCAAACAATCATTTTCAAGGTCAAATGAGCTCCGAAGAAGGTATATCCCATTTTCAAGGTCCATGAATTTTGGGTGATCTGAATTTCAATGTCTTTTTTGCCCAAATTTTTCATGGATGTTTTTTCAGACATTATCTATAGAGCAGGTTGGTCCTCACGACCAAAACAAATCATTTTGAATGTCAAACGAGCCCCGGAGCAGGTAAAACCTTAATTTTATCAATTTTCATGTGCTATCTTCCACGATCTTTTTTGATGATCCAGAATTCTGACGTCTTTTTTGCCTAATTTTTTTGTGGACGTCCATTAAGACGTTAGCTATATAGCCAGTTGGCCGTGACGGACAACACAACCCATTTTGAAGGTCAAACGAGCCTCGAAGAAGGCAAACTCTTATTTTACCAATTTTCGTGTGCTATAGTCAATGGATTTTGGTGATTCAGAATTTGACGTCTGTTTTGCCCAAATTTTGTATGAACGTACGTTAAGACATTATCTATGGAGTCAATTGGCCCTGATGGCCAAAAGGGACCATTTTGAATGTCAAACGAGCTCCGGAGTAGGTAAACCACTAATTTTATCGATTTTTGTGTGCTATAGTCCACAATCCTTTTTGGTGATCTAGAATTTTAATGTCTTTTTTGCCTAATTTTTTGTGGACATCCGTTAAGACGTTAGCTCTGGAGCTAGTTGACCTTGACAGCCAAAACGATCCATTTTGAAGGTCAAATGATCCCCGAAGCAGGTAAATCCTCAATTTTACCGATTTTCTTATGTTATAGTTCATGAATTTTTGGTGATCTGGAATATCGATGTTTTTTTTGCCCAAATTTTTCATGGACGTCCGTTAAGACGTTAGCTATGTAGCCAGTTGACCCTGAAATTCCAATATTTGTTTTGCCCAAATTTTACATGGACGTCTGTTAAGACGTTATCTATTGAGCCATGTAACCTTGATGACCAAAACAAATCATGTTGAATGTCAAACGAGCCCCAAACCAGGTAAACACCTAATTTTATCATTTTTTGTGTGCTATAGTCCACGATCTTTTTTTGGTGATCTAGAAATCCGACGTCTTTCTTTGTCTAATTTTTTGTGGATGTCTTTTAAGACGTTAGCTATGGAGCTAGTTGACCATAACGACCAAAACGACCCATTTTGAAGGTCAAATGAGCCCCGAAGCAGGTAAAACTCTTATTTTACCGATTTTCGTGTGCTATAGTCCATGAATTTTTGGTGATCCAAAATTCTGACTTCTTTTTTGCCTAAAATTTTTGTGGACGTCTGTTAAGACGTTAGCTATGGAGCCAGTTGGCCCTGACTGCCAAAATGACCCATTTTCAAGGTCAAACGAGCCCCCAAATACGTATACTAATATTACCGATTTTCGTGTACTCTATTACAAATTAATTAATATTGAATAAAATAAACTGTAAATTTAAACACATAACATAAATGTATTAATTTGATGTAAACATCAGGTTCGAATAAGTTTTCTCTTTTTAAGTGCTTATTTTCACTGAAAAAAAAAGGAAATGACATATAACATGTTGTGATATACATATGTCTAGTCATTATCAAATCTTAACTTCATGTCATACAATCTTTTTCCTTTTTTTCTCTAAATGATTTTGGTTCATACAGCAATATAAAGATGATATTGAACTATGATATTTTCCATACCATTATTATTGTCCTATCAAGATCAAAGCCAAACTCCATTAAATGAAATTTAAATTTTAAAATAATTATAATAATAATAATAATCAAATTTTGAGTTCAATATATGAATTTAGTAGTAATTGCTTAAACATGAGATTATAAATGTATTACTAAGATATTTAGCAGTTGTTGCTTAAATATGATTATGTTACGTTTGTACTTAGGTAATTAGTGCATTATTTGGATTACAACCTTTTCATGTTAGTGACATTAGTCATGATCAATGATTATAAATTTAGAATTTAAATTTTAAAAATAAAATTATACAAATATTTAATAAGTAACATTTTACAAAATAAATTAATTAACTTTAAAATAAATAACGAACAATAAATGATAAAGCAAGGTGTTTTAATACGTGACCATGTTCTTATAAAAAGATGTTCAGAAATAATGGACAAGTGGTGACCACCATTAATATCCACATACATCAATATTGTACTAAAAAAAATAAAAATACACCGCAAATACAAATTAATAAATTAAAAGATCTATGTCGAACTAATTTATTTTTTAGTTATTCGTTTTGTCTCAATTTATATAATATTTTTTATTTTTTGATAGTTAAATAGTTTATGTTTAATCGAAAATTTAATTAAGAAATCCTAAATATTTTAAAATAAAATTTAATATTTGTAAACTACGTAAAAAGTACTATAAGCCATAATAATTGACAATTCAAAATATTTAAAAGATCTATGAAAAACTTACCGTCAAAGATAAACTTGTTTGAATGTTGAAATCTGAAAAGTGTCACTTAAAATGGAACGGGAGGAGTAAAATTTATATTATTTCTGTCCAACAATAATTGTTCATAAGTGTTTGATAACTTCTATACTCCCTCTATCCATTTATAATTGTCATGATTTTCATTTTTAGAGTCAAACGATAGAAACTTTGCCAACTTTTTACGATGCTTCTTTTCATAAGTAAAAAATGCAAATTATAACACTTTTCTTAATATCTAATATAGAGTTAATGTAATCTAATTTAACTTTAAAAATTAATTTAACTGATTTTCAAGAAACGCAATATAACAGAAAAAAGTGAATGGAGGAAATACTATTATTGACTTTGTTAAATTGAATGCTTCCAGATATATATTAAATGAAACTATCATTGTAAAAATAATCACAAAAGATGAATTATCTCTTGATTTCTTAAACTAGACAAGTATGATAACACCTATTATTGAACGGAGAAAATAATAGTTATTTATTTTAAAATATAATAAATATAACACAATCCGTTATTTCTAAAATTCAATGTTCATATATATATATTTGGACAAAATGAGAAAGAAAAGAAAAAAGAAACGGCTTTTGGATAAACCGAAAAGTTATTTAAAATATAAATTATTTCCCGGCCTCACTCACCAAATGCATTTATGCTACAATATTTTTACTATTTAAAGCAGTTTTGCTATCTCCATTATTCTACTATTTTTCTCTGAACTGAGCTCACTCACCGCAGTTTCAGTGACGATCGGCTACCGGAAAAATGCACTCGACGAACTTGCTTCTCGAAGAACCGATTCGAATGGCTTCGATTCTCGAGCCATCAAAGCCTGTGAGTGAAATTCTATTGCTTCAATTTGACTTTGTTTGATTCACTGTAGATTCATGATTTTGGTCAATTTAAGTTGAGGAATTTGTGTATTTTTTGGGAGAGTTGTACTCGTAATGTGCTTGAAGTGTTTGATTTGTGGTTTATGATCTGTTATTTACTAGTAGGTAGTTGTAGCATTACTTTGGTAGTATTTTTGTTCTACGATTTCTGTTACTATATGTAGTTTTTTGTTCTGTTACTATATGTTGAGGAATTTTTGGTTTTTTTGGGGAGAATTGTTTGCGTAATGTGCTTGCAGATGCTATGAGCTTAAAGTGTTTGATTTGTGGTTTATGATCCGTTAATTTACTAGTAATTGTAGCATTACTTCTGTAGTTTTTTTGTTCTACCATTTCTGTTACTAAATGTTATTTTAATTTGTACATCGATTATAGTATTATTTTGTTTTATGCTATTTTTTTTGTATTTTATCGTGGCTTTTTTACTTCGTATTACTTTTTCCCAAACTACTTTGTTGTGTTTTTTTTTTGAGCTGAGGATGGTTATGTTGTTGTTGATCTATTAAATGATGATTTTGCAGACGTTTTTTCCAGCAATGACGAAGATTGTTGGCACGCTGGGTCCAAAATCACGTTCGGTGGAGATTATCTCTAGTTGCCTTGAATCGGGAATGTCTGGTATGGTATCATATTTTAGCACTAGCTATGGGGGCAGAGTTGATGTCTGTGTAGTCTGTAGTGTTAAATTGGCCATTTGATTAACTAAAATGAATATGTTTGGGAACAAAACTTGAAACTATTGTAAAGGGAAACCTGGAGTACTAACCTCGATTATGTGCAAGTAGGGGAAGGGGCAGACCAGATTGGGTCTTATCTTGCATTCTGCAAGAGGTTGTTTCCGCAGCGTGAACCTGTGATCTCCTGGTCACACACTCACACTGAACATTGAGCCAAGGCTCCAAATGTTGTCACTTGTCAATAAGAATAAAGGGGAACTTCAGAAAACTAAAAAAGAAGCAACTAATGGACATCGAACCAGGGAAGACTTACACTAAGACATCTGCATTTTATATATTTGTGTATATATAGAGACTTTTTGTTGTTACTTTTTTCTTCCAAATAAAAGAATGCCTCTGTAATGTAAGTAAACCTGTGGAAAATATTTTCTCTCAAGTAATTTACCTGTTTTATATTTGTAAATAAAGTTGCTACTTTCATCCTACCAAGTATGGTTTGATATAATTCAGGATGGGAAATGAATTAGACAAATAGACCAGGCTTAACTGAGTGGTAAAATATGGTAGGAATAGATTTAAGTTATATATGCTGTTAGTGTAATGGTTTAGTGAATTTTAACCCGCAATAGCAGGTTAGTTTCCATTTTAATCAGTTTACAAGTTAATATGTATCAAGAGATTTACTTGTAATTACCTTACAGTGACTTGGTTGTGTAAGTATGTTTTACAATTTCAATCCATAAGACTTAAAAACGGTGTTCTTCAAAAGCTTGTTAGTAGCCTTCTGTGTGCTCCTTTGTTTCGAAAGATGCTGAGTGGCTGGAACTAAGCTGATAAAGAACATTGACACCACTGAGCTAATACTTCTGTTGTTGTGTATATTAGTGGCACGATTTGACTTTTCATGGGGAGATGCCGAATTTCACCAAGAGACATTGGAAAATCTAAGGGCAGCCGTCAAAAAATCAAAGAAGCTCTGTGCGGTAAGCTCGGTTGCTCCTGCTATTCCTACCAACTTCTCTGTTTATATAAGTCTGAATATATAACCTCTAAAATTTGTTATGGCCAACTATTCTCCTTCTCTTTTCAGGTTATGCTAGACACTGGTGGTCCTGAACTACAAGTTGTCAATAAGAGCGAACACCCAATTTCACTCCAAGCAGATTCCTTAGTTGTCCTGACACCTGATCAAGATAAAGAGGCTACACCAAATCTACTGCCAATAAATTTTAGTGGCCTATCAAAGGTAATTTCCCTAAGGCAAAAAGTATGTCTTTTCTGGGAGTTTATTGGAACTGCACCTCCAGGCTTCCTATAGCATTACATGCATAAAAGTACATTTTGAGGTTGAATTGAGTCTTATCAGGGGAACCATAGCAGTAGGAGGATATTTTAGACTGGTGTGCTGTGCTATTCACATCATGTTAGTTCTTAAATTCGACCTTCTTACTTTTGTCCAGGGAAATTTAAGTCAGTCAATTCCTTACTTGATTATCAGCAAACAATAGCTATTAATTTGCATGGCGGTTAAGATTGTGGACACTAAAACAAGGTTGCAGTATTGTCCATAGGGGTTGGTAAACAAGAACTGGGGAATCAACTGATGACAAGTTTATCAAAAAGGAAATCCAATTTCAAAAGTTTAGAATGATAGCTGGAAAATTACATCTGAGACTGTAAACGTAGAAGCATACTGATTTTAGTTCCCATCTTTGCATGAACCATGACATGTTCTGATGCTAAATTTTCATGATTTTGCAGTCAGTGAAGAAAGGAGACACTATTTTCATTGGTCAGTACTTGTTCACGGGAAGTGAGACTACCTCTGTGTGGCTAGAGGTGAGGCAGCATTGAAAAACAAATAATTTAAATGTTTGGACCAGCGAGATGATCGTTTTTATTTCATTTCAGAAATGTGAGAAAACTTTGTACCCCATCACTGTTCAATCCCCTCTACCCCTTTCCACAACACACAACGACACCAAAATAATGTGTGTGTGCGCGTTCACGCGTGTCTGTGAGAGAGGGAGAGAGAGCCAAAGCTAGAGTATGGCACTTTGCTCTCACTTGTAATAGCATAGTGAAGTTACTGTTAGAGTTACATGGGCCTTCCGTTTAGACTTTCTGCTGATGCAAGAAATCAATGTGAAAAAGAAGTGCAGCATGTGGTCAATGTTATACTAGTTAAATTTCCGCTCTCAAGAGTTCTCTACAATGCAGGTAACAGAGGTGAAAGGAGAGGATGTCGTTTGCTTGATTAAAAATTCTGCCACCTTGGCCGGACCATTGTACACATTACATGTCTCCCAGATCCGTATTGAGTTGCCAACTCTGACGGACAAAGATAAGAAGGTCTGTTGTTACCTAATATCGAAGTCTATCATTTTGCAATCAGTGTTTCACTCTCTCTAAATTTATGCCACATCATATTGGTCCGAGAGACTCCAAGTATTTTGTGTAGGCAGTACGAAAAACTAAATACTTAAGATTATTTTGGGAAGGACAGTTTGTTTGCTCATTAAGGTTCACATTGTACAGTTTAAAAACAACTCTGCAGAACTTATTGGTCAAATTTCGTTTAGAACTATGATACTCTCTAATGGTAAATTTTTCACTGTATATCTTGTAATTATTTTAGGTTATAAGCACTTGGGCCTTTCGAAACAAAATAGATATCCTTTCACTGTCATATACACGAAATGCTGAAGATGTTCGACATGTAAGGCTATTCTACAGAATTCTACTTTCCACTTTATTAATTTCAACATTTCCCTCACCTACGTAAGATCTGGATTACTCCTATGCGATCACTTCAGAAGTGAAGAAGCATATCTTGTAACAATCTAGTGGTTCTTCATGTTCTTGTTCAGGCTCGTGAATTTCTATCTAAGCTGGGTGATCTTGATCAAACACAGATTTTTGCTAAGATAGAAAATGTGGAGGTTAGTTACCTATTGAATACTCGGGGATTTATTTATGAAAAAAACTGCACAGTAGTTGGTATAAATTTTTCCTTGCATTTGCTTATAGGGAATGGGCAACTTTGATGAGATTCTCGAAGAAGCTGATGGCATCATTCTCTCTCGTGGAAATTTAGGGATAGATCTACCACCTGAGAAGGTCAGTGAATTCTCCTCAGTCTTTTCTGTGACATATTATTGATAATGATAAAACAGCCACCTCATTAAAGTGGCATATCATTAATGACATTCAAATGATCTACCAATTCAAACATCAGATGGTACAGAGAATTTCTTTTGGGTGGACGTGAGTGAATTTCCCGTTAGGGATGAAAAGTGATATTGCGGATTATGCAAAAATAAATGGGGTCCTGTTTGACGTACGTGCATGAGGCGCTGTCTCTTACTTAGAGTACTAAAAATGTATTGTGTGCCTTGATAATTTTGTGAATTAATTCATGCTTAGATGCCACACTGTTTAATCGGAATGATTCATTGGAAGGGCGATAATACACGACTTCTTTATGTTATTGATTTAAGAAAAATGTTATAATCTACGTAAAAATGTGTTGTGATTCGAAGATCAAATTAAAGGTTGAAAAGGAAACAATAACATATGAAGGGTAATCCCACAAAGTGGGTTTGGGGAGGGTGGGGTGTGTACGTAGACCTTACCCTACCTTGTGAAGGTAGCAATGTTCTTTTCAAAAGACCCTTGGCTCAAGTAAGGTTGGAAAGGCAAAAAAAATAAAACGAAGAAAGAAAGAAAGAGATAAAAGAAAAGCAACACAGTGTTCGACAAGCAGGGCAAATGACCAATATGCCCCCATGTACACCGTGATATCTGAACACGTTCGGAAATGTTGAGGCACATATATTGAGATACATTTAAATGTGTTTTGGGTCAACAAATGAGCAAAAAGCTACCTAAATAGTATCTTAATCACATCTAATGATTGATATTCTAGTGTCAGGACCTTCCATTCCTGTCACTTAGTCCTAGATAACTTTCATCTTTCCACTTGCAGAATTCTCGAGGAGGTCACCTTTGCTCCTTAATAATTCTTATAGTTCATGCGTTCCAATGACATTTGCTCTATATGCAGTGAGTGAGAGGTTCAGCTCATAGTCACGTCAGTGAATGAATCTGACTAAGGCAGCCAAACGTCTACTTAAATTCTTGCTTTCTTCTCATTATTACATGAAGGAACAGTTGTTGCACCTAAGAACAAGCTGGAAATCAAATCAATTGCTGGAGCTTGACTTCAACTCATGGATATTAGCTCATTATTAAACATTTTCTATAACCAAGTACTAGCTTGAAAGATAGCATGGAGTTTCATTGGGAATAGAATATGGAGAAGTTGTATTGAGAAGAGTAAAGGTGGACATCATAAAACATTTTATGCTATATAAGGGTTGAGCATTGATTTGCTTACTAATTTGAAGACACATGAATAGATGCAATGCACTTAACAAGCAAAGACAGTGACACATAAAATGGAAGTCCTCTCATTGAACTATATGTGGGCGAACAATATATTTGAATAATCTACGTGTGATTGAATAGTGCCTGATGGGTCCGGTGTTGAACTTCTTTTTGCTTCATTAGACTGTTTCATGTTGACCTACCCACTGACTGTGAGGCATTTTGCAGTTATCTAGGATAGATTTCTTTCTTTCTAACCAGATTATATTAATTACCAGGTGTTCCTATTTCAAAAGGCAGCTGTTCACAGGTGCAATATGGCTGGTAAACCTGCTGTGGTCACTCGTGTTGTGGACAGTATGACTGATAACTTGCGACCCACTCGTGCTGAGGCAACAGATGTTGCCAATGCAGTATTGGATGGTAGCTTCTGTTCTTTGACAGGCCTGTTGTCACATTAATTTGATATACTAGATTCCTATGAGAAAAATGGGGAATATATGCTAAATACTTGTGGTAGGTATAAACGTGCCTTTTTTGTGCTTGTCTCCAAGATGCTTCATATCAATTTTCTTTCATCCCAGGTAGTGATGCAATTCTTCTAGGTGCAGAGACCCTGAGAGGTCTATATCCTGTTGAGACTATTTCCACTGTTGGTAAAATTTGTGCAGAGGTAAATCTTACCTCGTTGCTGTTCTACATATGCCTTATGCCTACCATTGTGAATTCATTGTCAATGGACCCCTCATCGTCTTCTTTGAATCTTCTTTTCCCAGTTATGTCATTTGTTCTTTATACTATAACACTGTAATCATCAACCTTCAGAGTACAATTTCTACTGACTCAATGTCACATTTTTTGTAAGATTGAACAGTATCATATATATGGAGCACAAAGTACACCTAATATCAGAAATAGCAGTTAATAGAATAATGTACTCCTGTGTTGATGCCATATAAAGTAAAAGCTGTGTTGACTTGACGTATTACCATGATTGTGGTCCTACCTTACAAAAAGCACTATTATGTTGAATTCAATGTTTTTTCTTTATTCATAGTAGAACTGTTAAAATTCATTCTGAAGATCAGATAACTTTTCTAAAGCATACCCCCTAAAGTGAAATTGAGTGCGCCAAAAGCACTTTAAAATCATGTATAGTGAAAGTTCTAGATGTTTGAAAGGATTTCAGTTCATAAGTGGTGAAGTCTTAACATACATCAAAGGTACATGGATAGGCTTGCAGTAAGTAATTTTAAATGGCTCATGCTCAGTGCAAGTTGTTGGGGACAATCAATTGCTGCAATGGTGTGAATTAGTCATGCAGCTATGGAAGATATGAATTAGGAAACGTATTTAACTAGACCTATCTTCTCCATCTATTTTTCTTTTAAGGTCCTCTTCGGTGATGAGTTCACTATGCAACGAAGTGAAATACGAAGAGAAGTTCAATCTCTAGCTAAACTCGGATATACCACGGTTCAAGTGTATCTTCTACTACATTTTGTTGGGTAGGAGATGAATAACCTACTAAAGGCTGTGAATTTGGTTAATGACGTGCTAGTTAAGCCAGTACATTTTTCTAGTCAAGTTTGTGTTTAGCCAAAATGGCACAGGAGAGGAACAGATCTTTAACCAATCAATCATAATTTACATTGTGGCATAACCTTATCTTTTTGTGTTTCATATTAGCCTTTTAAAATTCACTTTGTGCCTTCCAAGGCGGCGTCTTGTTGATTTCAATGTAGTCAGATGATAATTCTGAGTTTCTCTTGTATATTTTTACTTCTAAAATTAGTTCCACCATTCCAGGCAGAAAAGGTTTATAATCAAGATGTCTATTTTAAGAGGGCTGTTAAGTGTGTGGGAGAACCAATGACTCACTTGGAATCTATTGCTTCCTCAGCGGTATGTTGTTTCTGTGCTCATGTTAAGTTTTTGGTTAGGTTGGAGGAAACGGCGTCATAGACTTTAAGATTCTAGTATTGACATGAATACTGTCTGTTCTGCTTTTATTTTATTAAGGTACGCGCTGCCATCAAGGTCAAGGCATCTGTTATTATCTGCTTCACTTCTTCAGGGAGAGCTGCGAGGTCTCTCTTTTCTTCTCTCTCTCTCCAAACATCATATTTGCTATCCATTGATGTAAATTGTGTATATCTGTCAAAGACATCCTTACCAGACCTTCTCATCAAAGAATGCCATGACATTCTGAAGTCTATCCTCTAGTGCAGAAAACTCAATTTATAAGCTTTTACTGATGATGCAGATTGATAGCTAAGTATAGGCCACCGATGCCAGTTTTATCTGTTGTCATTCCTCGTCTCAAGACAAACCAACTGCGCTGGACATTCAGTGGTGCATTTCAGGTAATCATGTTTCTTAAAGGACTTCCTTTTTTTTAAAAGAAAAATCAACTTATATGTACATTGATATTACCATCATGTTACCTGTGCCAAATTGAAGTGCATCTTTTACCTATATGTAGAACAAGTTAAGATCCTACTATATGGATTTGCCCCTAACAAAATGTGGTACATCTCCTTTCACTAATTGATGATATATTATTCTTCGGACTAGATGGTTCAATAATGACACATCTTTATTAGAGATAATCTGATTCATCATACCTCCTATGAATGTATGCATTATTTTCTGGGCAGATGCTAAGGCGGTGCTTGCTCGAAAATGAAACCCAATTTTTGCAAAAATTGTGTTTTGAAAAAACACCCAATAATTCTGTTGTGAAGCAACTATTTGAATCCTGTTAGACTGTCTATTTTCCCAACTACTACTTAATTACTCAGACTGATGCTTGGTGTTAGAAAAGGTTTATTGGGATGCTAATAAAGCTCTTCTTCTGATGCTTTCTTTTTTCATTCTTTAATTCATATTATCATAGATGATGTATCATTGGCAAATCGAAAATGAAACTGATTTTATTGCATTGATGACTTAAATGACAGGCTAGGCAGTCTCTTATTGTTAGAGGAATTTTCCCCATCCTTGCAGATCCAAGACATCCGGTATGAAATTTTTTCATCTGTTCCTCCCTAAATAAGTGATTTCTTTCTAGAGCTACTGCAGTTCTGATTAAAAGATTATGTTAACCAACATGGAATTGTGAAGTGCGTGATTAACAATATCGCTTGACCTCATCTTGTATTAGTTCTTCTGTATTATTTTATGAGCAAAATATTAAAGGTAAGAGAATACAATGACAACTACACATCATTCAAGCTAGTTGTGGTCGGCTATATGTATCCTTATTACCCCCTCTGTTCGCTTTATTTGACACTACTTCTTTATTAGTCCGTTTAAAAAAGAATAACACACTGCTTTTATAGCTACACACGTGTTATTGCATGGTTTAGATGACAAGCTTTAAAGTCCCTTTTTCCCTTAACCGTCGTGCCGAGTTGAACTATGACAAACAAAGTGGAATAGAGGTAGTACATATTTTGATCCATTGTTGACTCATTTTATTCCAACATTATATAATTCTGGTTCTCCAACAATAAAATTCTCCACAAACATTAGACCTAATGCGTATGGAACTACATGGGTAAGACTTAATGTCATCTAGTTAGTATATATTGGCCACATGATTTTTTTCAGTTGTGTTTTGTCTTGCTCGAGTTTGCCTTTTCTGAAGACATATTCAGTTAAATAGTCACCAGAAGACTTGCCATAAAGTCATAATCAAAATCTAGTTGAGTAAGTTCTGGTCATTGGAATCTTGTCAGAAAATCTTCAGTCATGGACATCTCGTCAGGAAAGTTCCAATTTTCAGAAACTTGCCAAAAAATCGACTGGCGGAAAATGACTAATATTGATTGAAAAAGGTTTGGAAATAGTGGTGGCTTTAGAACTGTCCCTAAAGAAACCGTTATATGACTAGATCAGACACTGGAAAGGAGTGTATATGCTGCTGGAAGAGTCACGAAAAGAGACAGGGCGATCAGTTACTGGATATATCTTTCTTAAAATGTTAAGAATAAGAAAGAAAAACAAGGTGAATGAAATGGAAGTTACTTATGCTGCTGTTTAGATTGTAGAGCCTTTGTACCATGTGAGTAAAATAAAAAGTTCAAGACGAAAGATAATTTAAGATGATGTATAAATAAGTTGATAAGCATAAAAGATAAAAATGTCATATATAACTTACATTTAATCCGAAAGGGAAAAGAACTTTGGGAAGTGCATGATAGTCCTTCTGGCCTTTATAACTTCATAGTTACTGTAACCTTCTTTCTTCTTGTTAGTGTGTTCGGTGTAGCGTGGCGAGAACATTGACTTTGTTCTTTCCTTCTTCAGGCTGAGTCCGCAAATGCAACTGATGAGTCGATATTGAAGGTTGCACTAGACCATGGGAAAACAGCTGGTGTTATAAAACCACATGACCGAGTTGTTGTTTTCCAGAAAGTTGGTGACGCATCTGTGGTGAAGATCATTGAGCTTGAAAATTAGGCTAGTACATCTTTGTATGTTTCACTCAGAGCATTCTCAAGTTAACAGAATGCATGAAAACCATCTAATGGAGCTATAAAACCAGGTTGATCCATGGCTGTAATAATTGCTCCGGACCGATGTAAATCCTCTGTAAGTAATGCTTACCACTTTAAGTTGTAAGATTATTATCTTTTAAGACGCTGTCATCTTTAACAAATCTCTTTTTTTTTCTCTAATCCATATGTTGTGTAGGCTGTGAAGGGTGTCAACCTACTTTGCTTCACTATTTTTGTGTATCAAATAGTATTATATATATCTTCAGGTAAATAAGTAGTTATAATTGCTATCTTATGAATGGAGTAGTGATATATAAGAACCTTCTTTTCTTGATGATAACAAACTCTTCATAGGAAGATTGTCAAACATTTGTTCTAGGAGAGTGAAATCATCAAGAATTCAAGATTAATTCAAGAGTAAACCTTCTATTAGTGAAGTCGTATACCTTTAGGGGTTGTTTGGTTGGAAACAAGTTATTCAGGATTAATTGTTTCGGATAAATTATTCCACAGTGTATGTAGGATAACTTATTCCGGTATGAACGGTGGGATATATAATCCAAGGATTATCTAATACCTTTAACCAAATACAAAATAAAATAATCTTGCATTTTATCATGATATTATTATATCTTATACCTCACATCAAACAACTTTGTATATATGGCTGAATCGGTGAAACTATGGAGAATAAGAGTCCGTTTGAATTGATCTATCATTGGTGTTTTTAAGTATTTGTCTAAGTAGCTACTGATTTATTGGACATTAAAACTATCAGTTAATTACTTCATATAAAAGTTGAATGTAAACATTCTGAAACTAAGAAGTTCAATACTGTTATTTTCGTTGGATAAAACAAGCAACATATACAAATTTAATTCTTATAAAGAATTTTAATGATGAATAATTCCATTGAAAAACAAAACCATAGGCAAAAGCCAATACAATATCAGATGTTAAATTTTTTATAATAGCAAAATACAAAGAGAAGGGCGTCCTTTTCTGAGTTTTAAGTTCATGGAAAACATTTTAATCTTCACACGATAGGAATAAAATTTGTGTATCACATTATGCTCCTACATTTCACTTATGGAATTACGTCAAGCAGCTGTTGACAAACTAGTGGTGTAATAAATTGAGAGGTGTCAGAAGTGTTAGAATAGTAAATTAATTTGTAGTGATACTTAATAAGCAGCACCCGTGGCCTAATGGATAAGGCGTCTGACTTCTAATCAGGCGATTGTGGGTTCGAGTCCCACCGGGTGTGTTTGATTTTTGTTCTTCTTTTTTTCCTTGGACACGTTGAATTACACTGAGTATGGAGAAAATCATTGGACTTGTTGACAAAAGCGAAAGTTCTGTGGAATAGTCATAGATATATACCATTACACCGAGTATGTTATTGTTATGCGAAAAAATCATCGAACTTGTTTGACAAAAGAGAGCGAAAGTTTTGCGGAGAAGTCATAGATATATACCATCACACTAATGCGGAGAAGTCATAGATATATACCATCACACTAAGTATGTTATTGTTATGCAGAAAAATCATTGGCGTGAGTGTGTGTGTGTGTTTTACTCATTCACAACTAAGTGTCAATACCTATAGCAACATACAGGCCATTAGCTGCTCAACACTCACATTATCAAATAAAATTGACAAACACTTCCAGTCAAAAAATGTAACCTCGAAATCACTTGACATCTATGACTACATGAAGGAAGCTGTTCAATTTTCGTCAAGCCAGTGAAGATGAATCTTCCAATGGTTAATTAGTACATTGATTGGCTAGTTCCTAAAAGGGATCTATTCTATATACAACAAGCCAACCTACTAATCAAAATGTCTATATCCATTGTACAACAAAACGAAGGATATAATAATTCAACGCCAGGAGGTCACGCCTCTTCTGACGTGATCCTTCAAACTTCCATCCAATGTCTACTCTATCACATCAAATAGCTTCGGGGAAACGTAATTCTGCAGGACCAGGACCTAAAATCCCTTTTTGCTCAGTTATCTTGCCTAACCCTATAGACGAATCAGTCTGTCCATTCTCCTCTTCATTCCACAAAATGACTTGCCATTCCATCTGGATCACGAGGAGACGAGCTTAAATTATACAGTAGACTACTAGGAATAACATTGAAAGCCTGGTAATAGAAAGTAGCAAAGTACAAGCATGTCCTCTGCCAAGAAACCACTCCTGTAGATAGTTTCTTTCAACCAAGATGCTGCTAATCCAAAGAATCAAACAATCATTCAATAGGATGGATCGTTTATTTCCCAACCATAAATTATGCGGACTTTCCATGAATAATTATGCTGCCTACACACAGGATGAAGATCTAATCAAATCGAACAAATACCTCAAAAGTGGAGTAGAAACCTTACCTCATCAAGATAGTGGCTTCCAACAGGCAAAAATGGAGTTGTAAGTGGAGGTGCAATATCCGGATCATGCTTTTGAAATATGAATGTGGTGTATAGACCTGCATAAGAAAAATACCGCAAGGATAGGAGGATATGAGTGGAGGATGTTGTAATACACGACCAGAACCAGATTTTAGTGGATGGTCAATGCAGTGAATAATCTGATTACCTAAAACGTCATACGATCTGGGAAGAAGTCTGCCCCTGGGATCAAAAAAGTTATGACCGGCGTCTTGTAGCATTCCGAGAAATTGTGCTCTATGAATGGAGTAAAATGAAGGAAGGATCAGCTGTTCTGATTAAAGAAATTAATCAGAAGAACTTTATTTGGAGACTAAACATGCTTGAAACAATGGTCTAAACAACAGACACTACTAATAATGTAAGAAAATAGCACCAAAAAGGCTAAATAAATGAAGCAACTTTATCAAACTATCAGTTATTTCTGCTAAAAATAATAGAACTGTGGTATGTTAAACCTTAATTTAAGCAATAATTCCATGCTGGAGTTATTCCTGTCCAGCTAACAACCCTCATAAACCTTCTAAAGAAATCAATAAATTTTAACAACCAAAAGAAAAGGAAAAGTAGACATAATTAGAAAAATAAAATCAGTATACTATAAGTGACCCATTAAATTCTTAAAAGGTAGGAAAAATGATCAAGTGATGGGAAACCATTTTCTTCCGCACTTGCTAGGAAATATTATGGTGTACTTGGTGAGACAAAGACTGAACACTTCACAACATGATAAAAGTTGATCTGAAGTTGGGTTCCCACCCAATAATACATCCATCTGAGTACTATGCAAGGCATGTATACACTACTTTTTGGCATGTGCATTGCCATGAAGAATATAAATTCCCTATGCAATAAACTATCACATTTTAAAGTTAAACTTCAAGAGAATCATCACTTTACCTTCATGGCTTCATCAATGATGTGATAAAAATTCAGGTAATTTCATATGATAGATTAAGATGGTAAACAAGCAAAATGAAACAGCCATGATGGTGAAGTTGTAAGTTACAATCTATTACCTGTTATCATCATAAAAATCTGTCAAGTTCTGAATCTCCGTGTGCTCAAGGCCAGCCTCTCTCGCCAACCTGAGGAATATGACTTTACAAGTTAATTATAGGATTTATTTACATTGACAGGATAAGAAAATAAGCTAAGCTAAAATATTTCTTCCCATTTTGGAAATGCAAGAGCACAAATGTTGACATCTGAAACTCAAAAAATCACACAAACAAACCAAAGAAGCATACAGATAACCTACTAGATCTGTAGAACATTGTGAAATAGAATACCCAAATTCACATTACGAGAACAAGTTTGGTTATTCCCATATCTGAAAAGGCGTGATTTCAAATAGTTGAACATTGGAAAAATAGAACTATCATAGTGGATCATGATTGGAGGCATGTCAGGGTTCCTCCCTGATGGCAGGGCTTACTAAGAAAAGTGGAGTTCAACAAAGGGGTCTCAAGTGAAATATAGAGAGAGATATGGGGTGGGGTGAAGGTAACAGAACACAACAAACCCAATTGAAATTTGACAGGGAATATTGCTGCATTAACCTGAGCAGGCTTGGAAAATGAACCAAACATTGGGTTTCAGCAGAGATGTCACTTGCAAACTTCAATTGATACTTCTTACCAAAGAAAGGAAACCTGAAATCCAATTCACAACATAAACATAATTAATCGCTCAAAAGAGACGCATTAAGAACAAACATAAGTGGGTGCCAAGTGGATTCCATACTTTTCTTCCTCAACCTCGAAAGTGATCATGTAATTTTCTGATCTAATACAACTAGGAACAATGTTTGGTTTCATCCCACCGCTCCTATTATGGTATGCTTCAACATTCTTCTGGTACTTTGCCCTATGACAACCACATGGTCAAATGGAGTGCAAACAACCAAACAAGATTTAGCAGAATCTTGAGATAAAATAACTTATACAAAGAGAGACAGAACCAGCATGAGTGGATCTCAACAAAGCCTTGAACCAAATAAGATCCCCATGCCAACTAGACTTACAAATCATCTTATTGCAATATACTTTTATGAGTTGAAAAAATATATATTCAACGGCATATAAGAAATAAACACACTCTGATCAAGAAATCAGCATACTTACAATACCCGCAAAAGGCAAGAAATGAACAAAAGAAAGCACATGAAACAAGCTATAGATTCTGAAGTATGCCTCTTACTTATATGTCATACTTCATCCAGAAAATGTAACTAATGTGTATCTAATGTATAAAGGCAATTACAGAAGCAAGAGGGATAGACAACCCAACTACTTACAAAAATGAGATATTGATCGTTTCTTTTTTATAAGGTTATATTGATCGTTTCTTTTTTATAAGGTTAAGTGTTTAGTGTTTACTGATAAATAAGTACAAAGAGGGTACTACAAAAAGGAAACTGAGATATTGATAAAAGGATTTTACAGCCCATAAACAACGAACTTATCTTTTTCTTTCTCAATTTGTTGAATAATGTCAATTATCACTATGAAGAATCATGACTTACTATGATGTCCAAACACCTAGAGATTCTGCTATCCTCCATTCCTCTCAGGCTCAGTTAAATCCAGGTTGTGTGCTTCACCTCACTTAAGAGCTCTTTAGTGTAGGCACTAAGGTACTAAAGCATTGTTGAGTGTTTTTGAAAGAGCAATAATAAGATAATATTATAGTTGGTAAACTGATGCATGAATTATTGGAAAAGATTAAGCATGTATGTTTTGTGATTGACAATAGGAAAGGTAACCCAGTGCACAAAAATTAAAAGTTTAACATAAGGAAAGTAGAAACCTAGCTCTAAAAACATTTCATCTAAACCAGACTTGATGGATACAAAACATTTCATCTAAATCGTCGTACATTTGGATCACTTTGTGCATTTTTGTTTGAATGCATCATCCATGAAGCAATAACCCCATACTTCACCTCATTTTATCGCTTTAAAATTTAAGCCACAAATCTATGGTTTTTTAATAACACCAGTGACAACAAAAG